AGGCGTGATGAGGAAGCCAACTCACAAACAGACTTAGTACAGCTTTCAAAGACACAAAAGCGGTTCTGTGACCTTCTGTATCCGCTCTCTGTCCGTAGGTGACCGAATAGCTTGGGATCTTTAGATCCACCGCTGCATTTCGTCACGAGGGGAGAGGTACTATCCACGATACCAGGGCTGCCCACATCTGCATCGTCTCCAAGCACAAGAACTATGTGCGCTTTAAGCTGATACAAAATTTGCATTTTGTGTCCCAGTGTGAGTGCCATTTCGACCGGCTCTTGTGATGCATTTCGTCAGCGCAATTTGAATCATACTAAAGGGATGGTTTTGACGCTAACGGACTGAATTTTCGTACGCCTTTCCATGTCAAAACCAGTGTTGTAACTCGGGCCTTCGTTTCCATTGCATTGTTATTTCGAAAGGTCTATTTTGGAATAAGTTCCAATGAAACGTCAAAGTGGCTCTTCACCCACTCGACTGAGAGAAGGGTCGTAGTCGTTTCCTTATCTCCCATAATTCTTGTCTATACCCCTCATAGGTGGTCGCATAACGATGAGGAACCAGGAACTTGAAATGAATACTGACAATGACAACAAAGGCTGTAATGGTTATTTTTGGCCTGTTTATCGTGATTGACTGGCCATAACTCAACTCGGGGTCGGGCAAACCTAAGATTAGATTGAACCTTTGTCCGAACAACTGTCTATACTCTTTGAGGTGTCACATATTTCTACCGTATTTGTCTATAATATACGTTTTGTGGGCTTTTGAAAGCTTAAAGCAACAGCTGCTGTTAGAGACCCTTTTACAACACGTCTAATTTAATCCTTAGAATTAGCCATGTACTCTTGGCTTCCCCAAAGTATTTTTCAAGGGGAATGAGATAGGTCTGTTGAGTAATCTGCCGATACACGAATCTTACCACGTGCATGAACTACTTTCCGATATGCACCACGTCACCAACATTAATTTATAAATTATGTCCATTTCCCTCTCCCGCTTTCCAACAGGCCTACACCTCACTCTATTCTCTGCATGACTTCGATTGGCGGCACCCCTTTCCCGCAACCACGCTGGCCAAGGATACCCCAAAAATTCACAGGATTCTCCAGTGTTTCGATAACATTCGGCACTCTGAAAAACATGCTCCTGATGACACACCCGAGTTTCGCGGCACACCAGCCCTCGCCCTCCTGCGTGCCGCTCTCCAGGGG